TGGAAAAGCTTCAGTGCCTCAAAAAGCATTCAGTATCTTGTTATACTTCTAAGAGGAGAACAATTTGAAAAGGCCTCTTCCTTTCTATACAACACCACATCCCAGTAAAATGGTTGTTTCATGAACACACAGGAAGAGAGTCTTTCTGTTCAACTTGAAATATGACCATGCTTCAGATGAGTAGGAGTCTTCCCAGCTCAGCTGGATTGATTAGTTGTCAAGTTCAGCTTCAAATTTTGCTACAAAGTGCCTATAAATAGTCACACAACATTGCTGTCAATCCCTAGTGCTCTTGAATTCGACCCTCACGAGTACCATGTACAAGAAAAATGTTACACAGACTAGCCAGAGTAAAGAAAATAATAAAGAAGACCTTGGGGAAACAGGATTTTTAAGAGATAACATGGCACCCAGGTATCATCTCTTTGCCTTGATTTACACAATGTGATCTACCATCACAAGAATGGTCTCCTCCCAACCCTCCTGAAGTAGAAGAGTGGAGACTGCCTTTAGAAACAGTGAGTTGACCGCAGGGTATCAGACAGTTGGGGAATTCGTGAAACCATAGTATCAGCTACTGTGGCATGGGAAGATAGCTACCTCGGCTGCTGAGGACAGACTCCACCCAATCACAAGACTGCAAAGCTTTCTGTACTTAGAGGTTCCAGAACACACTAATCAATGACCACATTAGTTGCTCCTGGTTAGGGAATTGCCTCCAATGGAGAACAGTGTTTGCATCATTAAATCTAACTCTATCCCTTATCCTGCTGGTTGCCCTTCATTTAAGACTAGCCTGTGAATAACAAGGTTTAAACAATTGATTTTTTTTAACTTGTGAGAGTGGGAAAACAATGAAAGAGAAACAGGTTTATAAATATGACGATAGTGGGAAGATACTTTTCCATGAGCCCCAAAGTGACTGAGGGTAAAGAGGTAGCCAGCTCTCACATCAACCGTCCCTTCAGGAAGAAGCCATAGAACGATCCCATCTGCTAAAAGCTCTGATAAGTCAGAAGTTTATAAATAAATAGTATTTAAAATCTGTATGTCTTGTTTTACAATAAAATAAATTTGAAATGTGTATACCTTACAGAAAATTAAGAATGAGCTTTTTTTCTGGTGAAATACAAAATGGATGGATGTGACCACTACTCACTCAGGAGGACAGGATTCACCACAGTGTTTCAACACAAGTTGACAGGAGATGTCTCATCTACTAATTTATTTGTTCATTCACTAAATTAAATGCAATAAATTAAAACCACCCAGAATCCCACTACCCCAAGAGACTGTCTTCTGGCCTTTTCTATTCATAGGAAGTCAATCCAGACAATGTGTGTTATAAATAACCCATACTTCCCACTGTCCCTCTTCATTGCAAAGTGTCCAAACCTTTACACCACTATATGAAGCCAGCCAAAATGGGTTTCTAAGAAAATGTCTTAACTTTCTGAAAACAATACTTTATATATTAAAGAATGTTGGGCAATTTCTGTGATAGCCCCTCAGTATTCCATTATTTGTCATGTGAAGAAATGAGGAAATACGTTTTTCTGATTCAAATTAAGCTTAAGGGCTGTGGGGATAGCTGTCAACACATAAGCTCAGTATATTCTTTATTGCAAACTCGAACAGAACACTCTTTTGGCTATGTTTTCTATTTTGAAAGTTACTTCTGACTCCATTCAATAGATCTCAGAGTCCAGAGGCTTTAAAAAAAAAATGATTGTTTAAAAGAACAAAGCTATTCAAATGATTTTGCTGGACAGTGGTGGTGCATATCTTTATCACCAGCACTTGGGAGGCAGAGGCAGGCGGATTTCTGAGTTCAAGGCCACAGTGGTCTGTAGAGTGAGTTCCAGGACAGCCAGGGCTATACAGAGAAATCCTGTCTTCAAAAACGAAATGAAACGAAACAAAAAACAAAATCAAATGATTCTAATTAGATTATACAAAAAACACAATTTTCTAGCACAATGAAAATATGTGTTAAAATTAGTTAAACTACAGTGAATATGTACTCTCAATTTTTGCTTACCTGTCACTAGTTATAGGTAGGTAGTAATTTATGTGTTCTTAAGATGGTCTGTTTCAATGCAGTGGGCCAATAGCAATGAAGATTAGTGTACTGCCTTGCCCCTCTTCCCTCTTGAATCCGTATAATGGATCCTGCTTATCTTACTGTAAAGGAGGCTGTCTTCAGAGCCAAGATCATGCCAAGGGGAACAATTGGCTCTCCATAGCAAACATCAAGTACAGAAGAATGCTTGGCTTTGCCAAACATCTTTGTTAAACATACTTTATTAAACATATTCCTAGAAAAATGAATTTAAATACACTGATTTTACCTCTTCTCTGGATGACAAAACAATCCTCTGACCTTAGGACATGCTGGCCTTGATATTTTAGTCTTTGATGTACTTTCTAGTTTTTTTTGGTTAACATAAAACACATCTCTTAAAAAATAAGTTTAACTATACCATAAGTAAGAATTGTTAGGCAATAAAAATACAGGATTTTTTTGGTTTTACATTTATGACATGAAAGTATATCAATTTTTTGAGGTATAACAGTATACACCTTTAATCCTAGAACTAGAGAAAAGGGGACAAGCATGTCTCTGTGGCTGTGAGGATAGCTTAGTGCTCATAGTGACTCTCTCTCTCTCTCTCTCTCTCTCACTCACTCTCTCTCTCTCTCTCTGTGCGTGCGTGCGTGTGTGTGGGTGGTGTGTGTGTGTGTGTGTGTGTGTGTGTGTGTGTGTGTTGTACTCAGCAAGACTCCCGTGGGGAACATGTGGAAAATATAGTTGACACTATCTGAGTTGAAATGGGCTCAGCCCATGGAACACCTTAGGGAGGATCTCTCTCAAAGACTGACTATATCTCATTTTAAATGAGCGGTTGAATAGGTTTAAGGTTTAAGTCTTCAGATTTGCAACATTACTCGTAAAAGACAGCATTTTTATAATAAAGTATAACTTTTAATGATGAAGAAAGATACAGAAGTTCCTATACATCTTTAATATTTGAGATTTTAACAAATGATTTTGGATCATTGTAGAAAAAGGCAGTCTTAAGAAAACAGACTCTCACCAGCAAATGGCGCACACCTTTAATCCCAGCACTTGGGAGGCACAGGCAGGCAGATTTCTGAGTTTGAGGGTAGCCTGGTCTACAGAGTGAGTTCCAGGACTACCAAGCCTACATATAGAAACGCTGTTTTGAAAAAACATAATAAGAGGAGAAGGAGGAGGAGGAGGAGGAGGAGGAGGAGGAGGAGGAGGAGGAGGAAGAGGAGGAAGAAGAAGAGGAGGAGGAAGAGGAGGAAGAGGAGGACTCTCAAAAGCTTAATTCTTTGATTATTTAGGAAAGCCCTATAATTTATGCTTGAGTGGCTGAACCTTGACTTTGGGTGCACACGACAGACAAACATCATTTGTTTACAAGCTTTACTGTAAAGTCCTGCTCATACTATGGTAACACCGAGACCAGTGAAGAGAGGAAACTGCATATTTTTTCCCTAAGGACTAGATCATGAACATTTCGACCCATGGTGCCAGCTTGATCTTCTTTAAATGACACCATTAGAAAAGCAGAAGAATCATAAAAAAAACCCTCTGATGGCTTAATTCTCTCTACAAATGACAACAATTGTAGAGCAATTAATACAAAATGCATGAAGTTTCACATTGCAAATGAGATTCCTGTGCTTGTTATCATCAGCACTTTCCTCTTCATAACAGGAGCTAATTAAATTATTATATAATGATAAAATAATTTAGTTTTATATAATACATAAAATCTCTATCCTATATGTGTCTTTCTTTGCATTAACAGTTTAAATTTTTATTCAGTAGCATAAATATTCACTTGCATATGCATATTAGGATGCCTTACAAGGGGAATGAAGTGGAAAATTATTATGTCAAAATTAATGTAAAATGAGCTGGGCCCAGTGGCACACCCCTGTAATCCCAGTAACTGAGAGGCTAAAGTAAGAGGATTTCTGGTTCAAGTCCAATCCAGCCTACAAAACAAATATGAGGACAGCCTGAACCCTTCCCTGAAAGGCAAGAGAGACAGAGAGACAGGAAAACCCTGCCTCGTGTGTGTGTGTGTGTGTGTGTGTGTGTGTGTGTGTGTGTCTGAGAGAGAGAGAGAGAGAGTGTGTGTGTGTCTGGGAGACTCTGCCCCCAAATGCAAGTTGTGAGTAGCAGAAAGAAGATCAGCCATGTGACTCAGCAGCAGAGCATGCATCTACTGTGTTCAAGGCCTGGGTTTGATGCCAATAACCATTAAAGAGAGACAGAGAGAAAGACAAGGGGTCAGTACAGAAAGGATTTCGTCTCATGTTTGTTAGGCATCACATGCTCATTATAATGTCACCATCCCTGTCTATTACAGTGATCCCCAAAACAAGAGAAACTCCCAGGTTTTATCCCATAAGGTTTTATGGATCTAGAGTGAAAGGAAATCTCAAAATGAGTGTGCCCTTCTCTTTTTAAGACTACAGTGTGAGGATGAGTAAGACTAAAGGCCTGAGTCCAATCCTCAGAACCTGTGAAAAGGTGAGAGGAAAAAACTGACTCCACAGGGTTGATCTCTGGTCCACACAAATGAATCATGGCATGTGCACACTCCTCACACACATGCGCACACATGCATGTAGGCACACACATATACCATAAAGTAACATTTCTGAAATATTTAAAATTATAATTTCTAGATGTTCTAGCTACCAAACACAAAAGAGCCACATTATTATATCATTATGATGATAATTTTTATGAAGAATTTTGATGCTAATAAAGTTTCTTAGGCTACTTCACATCGTTGGTGGTTTTTTTTCTGTTCTGAAGGTGTAAGTTCACAGAATCACTTAAAGATCTCTTTTGAAAGTAACAGACATTCTTTGTAAGCTGTAACACCACTAAACTTTGTCCCATATTGATTTTCTGACTGATGCTCAATGTCAACTCTTGTTTTGGGGTGCAGACCTTTGATGCCCGAGGAGTGCAGAGTCACAGTTCAACCTGCCCAGACACTGACCTCGGACTGCTCTCGGCTCTGTCGGAATGGCTACTACACTCCCACGGGCAAGTGCTGCTGCAGTCCTGGCTGGGAGGGAGACTTCTGCAGAATTGGTTAGTATCTGTGTTACCATGGGCACTTGAGAAATTAGCATCACCTGTTTGTAGAATCATCTCGAGTACAAGCGGCTAGCATGATGCAATGTCTCTTTCTGGTGTGAAAAATGAAATCTTTACTGTCTTAATGGTGGCTGTTCACATATCTAAGTTAATCAAAGGCATAAAAGATCTTTAAATGACTGGATTTAAAAAAAAAAAAAAAACAGCACACCACAGCCCTGTATTTGGTGCATTCATACCAGCCAAAGACCCTGTTTGCCAAGCCCCTGGCCAAGTGCTAGCATTTTCCAGACACCCTATAAATGCTGTCTCTGGCTTCACTGCTTGCATTTTGCTGTAGCACACGAGGAGCAGGCCTTTCCTAGTGATGTTACTAAATCAAAGGGGAAATGCAATGATCTAGACACATATTATGAGACCTTTCCATTCCACGTCTCTCCCTTGTGAGCCATCACGAAGGTATGCAGCTTCTTGGAGGGAGTGGAGGTGGTCTGTTGAAGTTATTCCAGCCCTTCATGTGAGAGGCCCTCAATTCTGTGCCATGTTAAATTATAATTGGTGTGAAGTTTGAAAAAAATGGATAAATTTAGAAACTTAAGGAGTTTAAGATTGTGTTTAAAATAGAAATTCAACACTGTGTGTGCATGCGTTCGAGAGAAGTGGTTTTCATTTCTACTGTTTCACACATTAAAGTACACGCTGCCGATGAAATCTTGAACTCCAAATTAATATTTAATACTGTTCTTGGCTCATAAACACTGTCTTTTATTTTAAAAATTTATCTGTTTCAAAATATCTTATAATCATGGCTTGTCTATCTTGCAGACACAGTCAATACTAAAAGGGCATATAGTCAGCACATGTTTTAAGCTTAAATTGCTTCCGCCATTTTGTAACATTGCTAACATCTGAGCGATACATAACCATAACGGAATCTAGGTAGTTATTCAGAATAAACACATACCCCCTATTGACCAATCCCATCTCCCTCTTGTTCTGTTGTAATACTAGTTACCTACCTATTATCCCTCTGCTTCTCTTGATGTTTGGCAATATATTGTCCTCTTATCTCCGTGTTTGCCCCTCATAGAGCATCCATTCTGTTGGGCTCGTTGCACTTTGCCTAATTTCTATGTCCCCTCCAACAAATGTTAGTTAAAAAAAATACTTTCTGAATGCCTTCTTGGAACAACATGCTCAAACTGAGGGTGAAAAAGTTGTTTTAAGTCCTGATGTGCTCTATAATATCTTAATAGATATTACACAATTGGAAACATTCTTTGGGTAGCTTGTTCTATTTCAATAAAATCTTATCAATTAAAATTTTATCCTGATTTAGTATTCTAATATTTAAAATATTAAATATTTTTCAATGAATAAGAAAAAAAACAAAGCACTTTGTGAAATTAATCTGGGATGTTTTCAATGAAGGATTTCATCTATACACCCAGATGATTCACACATCTCCCAGAAGTTTGAAGGAGAAAATGCTTTTCACGTTTTTCTTATACTTTCTTTTTCATGAGTCAGTCCCAGAATCAGGAGTTTTGAGTACTGTTATCTGAAAAAACAAAAGTGATTCTGATTCCCTAAAGTACAAAGAAATGTAGTCAAAGGATTTGATTGGTCTGTGGTGTTTCCATCCTCAAACTCATCAGTAAATAACAACTAATGAATAATCCATACTCTGTGTCTCCATAGCATCTCAGCAGTAAATCTTTGCATTCCTTTCCTGTATGGTAGTAGTAAAAATAATTCAATAAGAAGCTTCCCTGCTGGAAAATGGCCCAAAGAGCATTGCTCAGAACACTGTCTGCCAGTCTCTTGCACCCCGCCCAGGATGGGCTTTCAGACATAATCACAGAGCGATGTGCTTGGTGTACCCCCTGAGAGCATAGGGAGTGGGGACCCCAGGGAGATGCTGGAGAGTTTATGAAACTCCAATCCCAAACTCACCTTGTTTCAGTATCACACTGGACCTGCTGAGGCCAGGGACCCCTTTCTCGGGCCAGACTCACTCCTGTGTGCTCCTCCCCTGCAGGAATGGAATTATGTGTGGGTTGAAATGCCTCTTGAAGCAGGAGTTGAAAGGGCTGACATCACTGTGGTTGAGTCAGTTCTGCAAATCAGAGATAATTTCTCACGATCTCTGCTTCTCAGCCTGCTGACATCCAGATGTTTAGCTTAGTCCCTGCCCTTAAAATACCTTGTGTCTGGAAACAGTTTTTCTTCCTTGCGTATTCCTCTGTTAGATCATTTTGTGACTGTCTCCCACCTTCTTTCCCAACCTTTCTTTATTCATCAAATACTTGACCACAGACATGGTGGCTCTAGAAGTAAAGATTAAGAATACCGTGTTGTTTTCTTTCTTGCAGCCAAGTGTGAGCCAGCATGTCGTCATGGAGGTGTCTGTGTCAGACCAAACAAGTGCCTCTGTAAAAAGGGCTATCTTGGTCCTCAGTGTGAACAAGTGGACAGGAACATCCGCAGAGTGACCAGGGCAGGTATCCTTGATCAGATCATTGACATGACATCTTACTTGCTGGATCTCACAAGTTACATTGTATAGTTTCTGGGACAGTTTGAGTATATCTTTCAGGTGGGCATTTATTTCAATCTTGTCATTAAAAAGAGAGACTGTCCTTCTGCTACACACTCCTGTGATTTTATTTTTAGTAACTTAAAAGCAATTTCCAGAAATGTACAGATCTCGGCATATATGTTGGCACGTTTCTTCACATCTGCACATGTAGTCACAACCCCGACCTCGAGGTTGTATAAGAGAAGGGTGCTTTGTTTTGTTTTTTAATATCTACTTTCTGGTGTGGAGTACTTTACACAGAAGTTCCACTACAAATTGATCACAGAATATTTATGACATCAGAAAATATTCATTTATTTTTTGGGAACTTTCTGTCTGTAATTACTGAAGTCGATCTTAGTAGGGTTTTGAAATGTTCTTGTGCAATGTGGTGGAAGTATTTTTATATTAAAGGTCTATTATAAGAGAGCATGTTTCCAAACTCCTTGGTGAACTTCTGAACAAGCAGCTTGATGTAAGATTGTAATCTTCATTTCTGTTGATGTATCTGATTACAGACTGTTGTACACTTACCTTTTTATTTGACAGAGCAATCTGATTACTTCAGCTTAATCTCAAGATGGTTTTCAAATGTTTTATGATTAAATCAGAACAACTTATTTGAAAGAGCAATCTTCCTGAATGCACTGCTTCTATTGTATATTTTGTGTAACAATAAGCTCTGGGGTTTTGTTACATATTTATATTTTTATTTTATTTTTATAATATAGACATCGCCTAGATGAGACACCTTTACCCTGTCCTGTAAAATACTAAAGTGACATTTTCACCAGCTTAATTGGAAAGAAGGAGAGTAAGGAAGCAAACAGCTTTTAATGTGCTGTGTATCTAACGTAGCAGGATATACTTGTGCCAACATGTAATCACTCCCGTCAGATAAGAAAGTAAGAAAGCAGCCAGTTCTTATAAAATTCCAGCATTGCATGCATGTGAAGTGCTTTCACCGTAGCAAGACTATCAGAGTCTGTGAGATTCAAACGTTCCAGTGTGCACTCTGAATCCATCCTCCCTGGAGAAGAGTTTGCTCCTTCACAGCCCAGCCAGGCTGTGGATAAGCTGCTCACATGTACAGACTCTTAAGCTCTTCATGCTTGGCAAATCTGACTTCTAGAGCATATGTTCCTTTAGGACTCTGTGACAATATCCTTGGTTCTTGCCTTAATAGATTTTCTACAAAAGTTCTGTTCAGATTTTCTTAAAGAAATGACGTGGTCTATCTTTCGATTACAAGAGTCTGACAGACATTTTTCTTAATCATTTTCCATTGGCTATCTCCCCATGTTTGGACTTAACAAAGGGTTTTTGTACTACTGACATTGGACCGTGATAAGTGCACACTCTCAACCATAGTGTCCATTCCCCTGGAATCCAAGCTGACAGTGCACACATGTTCTTCATCCTCAAGAAGATGAGCCTTAAGTATGAAACAACATCTCCCAGCTAGGATTCCTCTGTGGTCTTACAGTGAGAGAGTTACAGTTCAAGCACAGGGTCCATTTCTAAGGAATGCACACTGTAGAACACTGGGTCCACTGCTTCTGTCTTCCATATTTGATTACTTGGGTTCCGGTGACCTCATACAAAATGGAAGCAGGTTGGGAAACCTTGGTGCTTAGGGAACAATAGCCTACATTCAAAAGTGCATGCATAATTTTGCACAATTTAGATTCAATTGACAGTCTATTCAAAGAAGTCTTGGGACTAAACAAGCATGGAAATCAAACTGTCCTCTTACCCCAGAAAAAAGGTGGTCCTTCTAGTCTTACTAACACTCCATTGCCCCATCACTGTGACAAATCTTGCAATGAGCCATGCAGTAGCCTGCATCTGTAGGTTAACAGCGATCTTTTGTCTCCGTTGCTTTCTCTTCATAGTCTTTTAACCGAATTCCATCACAGAAAGTTTTACAATTAAAAAAATAAAAGGAAAAATTGCCCTGACAACCATTTTTGTAAGTGGACCTTACTATCAAATCATCCCTTATTCAATGTGGGTGACATTGACAGACTGTGAACTTCTCATGAAGAAGCCATCTGTCTAAATCTGTCCCCTAGAAAGTCAGCAAAAATCTTAAAACTCAAGAGCTTCTTTTTATATCTTTAAAAGAGAAGACGCTCCATGGTGGACACCGTCTTTCAAATACCCTAGGCTAAGACGACTAGATTCAGAGCTGTTTTACATAGGCTTTTCCCAAGTGAAAGGTTATAAGTGACTTCAAGAAGCACTATGTACCCCGAAGTTACTGCCTTTTCCATAAGGAGCGATCAAAACGAAAGAACAGATTATTTTTAAAGACTGTGATCCATGAGTAACTCAAGCAGAGAAAGTCACCAGAATACTTTTCTTCCATCCTTAGTAGAAAAGTAGATACCAATGGCTGGTGGGTGATGGTGTGCTTTAGACTATGTGACCAATTCCAAATTTTTCTTTGACCTTGAAGTCAATTTTTAAATGTATTGAGGAATTACAATAAGCAGTTTGTGAGAAACAGATGGGAATTGGTTAAAAACCATGAGCTGAGAGAAATAAATGTTTAATCATTTAAAAGTCCAAATTTACCCATCTAACAAAGCTGATGTGAATGACAAAGGAGAAATAAGCCATTTTTCGTCTGCCTGTCTATGCTAGACCTTAGGCTTTGGGTACGAGCTGAACTCAGAACAACCTTCCTACCTGTGTTGTTATCAAACTTCTGGCCTGTTTCAAAGCACTGGAAGCAATGATACAAGAGCTAAATTGACATCTCATTAAGGTGTAAAAGAAGGACATTTAAGAAAGTTCAGTGACGGCGAAGGTGCTTCAGGCCATACCTCTTCATCACAAGCTTTACTCAGAAGTTTCTACCATTTAACTGATCAGTTTCCTAAAGGATGGGCAAAGGAAATCTATACATGTTTATAAAACCCAGCTAGAAAACTATTTCCTTACCAGATGCATGGCTCTGAGTAATCACAACTCCCTTAGTTATTGTTTTTTGAAATTACTGTAGAATAACATACTATTATTTAATATCTTTGTTTCTGGTTTGTTTTATTACCTGAACCACAAAGTATACAGCAAATCTCCTCAGGGTGAGAAATGATGCCAGACACTGAGCCTGAGGCCTTTCAAGGTACAAACTAATCCAAGAGCTTATGAGCTTCTCTACTGTCTCCTAGCACGTGAGAGAAACCCAGTTTAAGTTTTTAAGGGGGAAGAAGTATATCAGCGAAGTTTGTGAAAGGTGAATCAGCTTACATTCTGAGAATCTGTCCAGAATGTTACCTAAGGCTCCACACACCCCCTTCTCTGCACCACCACCCATATCTCTCTACCTGTCTCTCTTTGAATCTCTTCCTCCTCCAATTTCCTGTATTAAAATATAGGAGAGCTTTCACTAAACAAACACATCATGTGTGCCAATCATGAAGTCATCCTAGAGCAGATGCCAGTGCATTTTGTTGGTTTTTTTCCCCCTTTGTTTTCTCTTCCAGAATCACATTGACTCAAATTCAGTATCACTAAGAGAAGTAGAGAAATAGCTTTCCAAGTCGTACTACTAGAGTAATGTAAAGAAATGGCAAAACGTACAGACATCTGCCAGCAGAGGTGCTTCGTGCCGGTCTTCTAGCAAAGTTACAGGAAAGATTAGGACAGTTGCCCTAGCAGAGAGCTTGACCTGATGGGAGGGACAGTCCTAGCTAGTTTCTACCAAAGTAATGACCATCTCTACAAAGTATACCTTGTGGAAAACTATTCCAGATCCATGTGGAAGAAATTTAGTTTCTTGGCAATAGTCGCCTCAGACACTTTTTTCCTGTTATGAGGTCTGCACTTTCAGAGAGCTCAACCAAAGTTCTATGCCCAGAAAATGAAGACATCTATATTCCCTGTGGAATCAGGTGGCTTGTTTCTGGGAGGGCTGACAAATTCCCATAAGAAAGCTCCTCTTTCCATAACTGAAACATGCATTTGCTCTCTGACTCTCTCTCTGTCACATGTTCACAAACTAGCCACACATATGATTACTAATATGGCATGGAACAAGATAGGAAGCCCCAGAAGAGAAGGGGTTACATGTTGAAAATATGTTCTTAGAGCCTGTCAGACACAGGTCTCAGTCAAGTTCTACCTGTCTTCCTCGTCTCCATCTCTCTGAGTAACTTCTGGGAATGATCTTGAGATTGCCTTCTAGGAGAGGCCAGAGGATCTGTGGGAGCATGGGGAGGAGTGTTAGCTGCTCGATTCCAATCACCATGACACTCTCTAGCAGCACTGGAGAGATTCGCTCATCTATGAGATTGGTAGTTTTTTAAGTTCTATTAAATATGAAGCTAAGATCCACCCATCATTTACCTTGCTTTCCCATATAATTTATTTAGGGCATGTATCAGCCAGTGGAAAAGATACATCAATAAAAAGCTTTATGCCTAAAACTTCCCATTTGTTTTTGTCAGTCAACAGCAAAATTTAAAAAAAATTAACATTGTATCAATTCAGTACTCATTCAGTAATCTTTCATGTATACCACAAAGTAAGATATCATTGTTTATTTAAGTTTTTCCTTTTTGAATATGTATTATAGATTCAAATAGATATATCCATATACTGGTAAGTGAACATCACATATATAGTATATTATCTCAGCTGGCTATCATCCTTTAAATAAAAAGAACAACATTTTATCATCGAATATATGTATATATATCATCTATTATATATACATATAATATATACATATATGTGTATGTATATATGTATATATGTATATGTGTGTGTGTATATATACATATATATGCACTAGAGAAAAATAAAATAGGTAGTGTTGGGAAATTGATAGTGGCCAAATATAAACTTTTTCTTCACAGTTAGAAATTCAGTCTTGAACATTTCTCTCTGCACTGAAAAATAACCAGTTAGTAGTTTCCATTCACATGAATAAGGTATGATTAGGCTTGGTATGGTCTGCATCAGAAAAAACATTGGATATTTTTTTACTCCATAATCTTAAAATCTGAGGCATGATTTTCCTGGAATGAATTAAGAATCCATGTTCGTAGGGTTCATTTCAT